AAACAGAAAATATCCCCAAATGTTAGTTGTTTAACAACTCAATATCTTGTGGTTTAGTTGTTGTTGTTAGAATAACTTTTGGTTTGAGTAGAAGTATCTTACTTTTATTCTAGAGTTTTGATCATAAGTCTTGAAAAATGTGTAAGTTCTGAATAAAAACAACCTTATATATACTTTTTGCCTTTATTTCTGTCTCTTCAGAATGAATTGTGTCAGTGTGACTCCGTTCAAAGAGTATACGGGATGATGTACCTTCTCCAACAGTTGATATCGTACAGCTGTCTGAGAAGGTTAACTTCTTTGTTTACTGTGAATGATCATTGGATAGTTGATTTTCTATGGGGATTTAAGTTCTACTTCAAAGGCAGAAAACTTTTTTTTTCACAAACCTGCATCAAAGTTATGAAAAAAAAGTATGTATGGACGAATATATACAAAGAGTCTGTAAGGTTTTACCATCTATTAAATATAAGAATGTTAAAGCGGTCTATTCAGCCTTTGTTACTGGATGCCATATCCTTCACCTTCTAGTATACTTTTTAAGTTGAACCTTTAAAGTTGTTGAAAAGTGGTTTGTTTGTTCTGTTTTTGCCACGACGTGTGATAAGATACTACCAGCATATTCTTTATGTATTCATGGTCAAGTTGATACTTTCTGTAGAGATAGATGGATAGAACAAAGACAGGATACGTGAAACTAACTTGGTTTTTATGTGTACTGTTGAAAGATTTAAAAGATAAAAGAGTTAAAAGTCGTTCAGTTAAGCAGAAAATGCATTTTTTGTGGGAGTGTTAAAAGAGTATTCAGTGAAAGTAAAAGACTATTTACAAACATCTAATTTATAAAGTTCTCAAAGTGGATCTTAAACTTGATCAAAAGCAAGATCTTTTACGATCTTTAATTTCTCATTGAATTATCTTTCTTCGAAAACTTGTCTGAACTAGTTTTGTATGTTGGTTAACCTATCTATTCAATTTTCTGTTTTTAATACAGGTTTGCGTAGATGAAACAAATCTCACCGGTGTTCTTGTCTGAACTAGTTTTGTATGTTGGTTAACCTATCTATTCAATTTTCTGTTTTTAATACAGGTTTGCGTAGATGAAACAAATCTCACCGGTGTTCTTGTCTGAACTAGTTTTGTATGTTGGTTAACCTATCTATTCAATTTTCTGTTTTTAATACAGGTTTGCATAGATGAAACAAATCTCACCGGTGTTCGTATATCTATGGTTGTGAGTGTTCCAGTTTTTAGAATTTTGTTTTGCATGTGTGTGTGTGTGTGTAAAATTTTTTTAATCCTACCATGGCCCTAGTGTTAATATAACTTTATATTTTGCATACTTTCAAAACGGCTTGTTGTACCACTATTTTTTTTTCTTTTATGAAACCAAAAACGTTCTTAATTCTCGTGTTATGAGATGTAGGAAATCTTCATAGTCTACCACTTGTTCATCCGTCAATAAAATTGGAAAGAACAACGACAGTTCTGTTTGACATCGTGTAAACGTGACTACCTTAAGTCCCCTTTTTTTGTTTGTTAATAGTTTGTCGACACATGACGAGTGTTATAATACTTCGTTATTCTTGTATTTATAATATAGGTGAATAAAAGGTAAATTTTTTGTCAGTGTGTTTTGTAAGTTAACTACATTTCTTCACTTATTTTATTAATTTACTGACAATATGTTGTAGTGACACTTTTGTCCTTGAAAAAATATTAACTTATGTGAGTTTTTCTAGTTAATTATTCATGTGAATCAGAAAACAAGCATTATCAAAAGGAGACAACATTATGAAAGGTGTATTGCTCGTTTTAATTAACTGCCTGTCATACCATCTGTGTTGGTGAAATAAAACCATGATTGAAATGGATGGGCACCTCATAAAAAAAAAAAAACTGACAATTATTTTATTGTGTATCAATGCAACTGTACACTTCACCATGTAACAAACTTGTAGAAGTGCTGAATCTTCGGGAAGAAAATCTGTGAAATTTACAGATGTTATCCGTTTTTTAATGCAAATCTTTATGATGGTGGCTTTTTCCAAATTAAGAATTATTTTGTATAATTAGTAAAGTTCTCACTAATATACATATATTTTTAAGTTCTAGGAAAATTGGACTGGTTTCAAAGTTAGCTTAAGAGTTTTCTAAAGACGTTTATTATGTTATGGAAATAATTCAATCAAAATTATTCATTCAGTTACTATGGATTGTTTTATCAAGTCTTCTTTTTTTTGCACTATTTTAATGCTTTAAAATTTAGATTTGGTAGAAAGATTAAAGATGTGAAAATACTAACTTGTTAAGATAAGTGAACCTTTTTTTTTTTAAATAAAGGATGAATAAAAGAATCATGATATTTTCAATGTAATGTTTATATCTTTGTAAGAATGGCCAAGAACAACTGCTCAGTCCAAACACCCCAAAGTTGAATTGTGTATAGAAAATTCATTCGTAGTCTATTTATGCAGTGTTCTTGACAATTAAAACATCTCGAATAAAAGTTTGAGTTTTACGAGTGTCTTTTATTGAAGTGAAAGAATTATAGATTATTGCAACTCATGCAAGAGACAAATGAAATTACATGCATATTTAGAGAGAGTTAACTTTGTGTTCATGTTAGATATTTTTGAAAACTCAATGAACTTGTTAATTAATTGGTTGTTATTTTGAATATGATGTAAATTCAGCTTAATCTGTTTTTCCTGTAAAGTACTGAGGCCTGTTTTAATATTTGTGTATGTACATTTTGTAATTGGTACCAGTACTTTAAAACTTTTGTTTCTAGGTTTTTCCTGGTGTAAACTTAATTTTATGGTAAAAGTCTTTGTTTTTGTACTAATTATAATGGATTTGTTGAAATAAATATGCTTTTGGTTTGATAATAGCTTTGTAGATCACTGGTAGCAAGGTTTCCTGTGGTTTCACAAAGTGCAGCTTTAACGAAAAACTTGAAATATGTTCTGTGGTAAAATGATGTGTTTAAACAATAACTCATCATTAATATCAGTGTCTTAAAATGAACTATAACAAGTTAACAAAGAAAGACTTATCTCCTGTCAATAAATTTGTAATAACGTAAAATAGTTAAACTTTCATTTAACACAATAAAACACACACACACACACACACAATATATATATATATACTGGGTACTCAAAGATATAGTTCTCGGGTGTTTAGCTCCCAGTAGCACAGATAGCCCATTGTGTAACTTTGTGCTTAATTACAGTCAAATTCTCAGATGTTTAAGTTTTAACACCCTTGATTGTACAGCATTTTACTTTTGTTGTACATGTACGTTAAACATCTAAACAACAAGAGTGCTTTAATGCTTGAAAAAACACAATGGAGGAGTTATCGAGGCTCAACAGGATACTCTGTAGTTACCATCTACAACCGTGGTTTGTGTTTGTGTCCTGCCCTTGTCGGCTTTTTGAGATGTGCATTGTTACGTAGTGTTGCAACAGGATCACTTCTGTGTTCTTGTAAGGTTAATAATATCCCAATCAGTAACTGTAACAATAGAAAAAGACAGCAAAACTCAAGCATAATTTACAAAAACGATAATAAGAGCAGGACTTTGAAAGTCAGTGGATCATAACATTTGTATCATCTTGTAACTTTAGATAGCACTCCAATTGTTGACAAGAAAAAGAATAATGTTTTATCTACTAGTATGGAATTTAAAATTCCATAAGATAGCCGACTCATGTTTTGAAGTCAAGAAGACACAACAACAGCAATAAAATATTTTTATCTTCATGAAGAACGAGTTTAACAAGCTAATAGTGGTCAACTAAAATGTACATTGTTTGTTCAGCTTAAAATCTAAAGAAAGCAAAATCGAATCTTAAACTTTTTTATATGTTAAATATTTATGTAATATATTTCAAACTTTAAAGAACCTCTAGACGGTCTTAATATAATTAAATAAACAAGATTTTTTATAAGCTACTATGTTAATCATTTAGAAACTGTGAATACAAGCTTTGAAGTGCACTGCAGCATGTAATGTGTAAGAAAACTTATCAAGTTTATAATGGTTTGATCAGTCAGAAACACTAATTCCATTTTATTTTAAAACTGCTCACTTTAGTGTACAATGTGTGTGTGTGTTTGATTGTATCAGGTTATCATAACTAGAACTACACTCAGTGTGTGTGTGTTTGATTGTATCAGGTGATCATAACTAGAACTACACTCAGTGTGTGTTTGATTGTATCAGGTGATCATAACTAGAACTACGCTCAGTGTGTGTGTTTGATTGTATCAAGTGATCATAACTGGAACTACACTCAGTGTGTGTGTGTTTGATTGTATCAGGTAATCATAACTAGAACTACACTCAGTGTGTCTTATTGAGTAAAGGTCTTTGTATTTTCTTCATTACTTAGAATTCCATGTGAAATCGTTTTTACAAGTTATCAAAGAACTATTAAACCACTGCACATTTGGTAATAAGTGTTGAGAAAACTTTACCCTAACGCCTGTGTAAAACTTGCTTTTATTTTTGGTCTCCATCGTGTTCGTTACCTTAAAGTGTTGTTTATTTTGTGGTTTGAAGAAGAAACCATTTTATTTATAAGATGGATTAGCTGTTGGTGAGAAGAGGGATCTTTAAAACTTCCATCTCTGTATCAAAGATGTAGTTTGTTCAATAAACTAAGTTTATAAATTTAATGTAATCGGAGGCTTTTCCATGTGCTAAAAGTGGCATGTAGAAAACAACATACCATTATGTGGTAAACTATTAATTAACAAATTATATACGACATTCTCAAGTAAACATTGTAATGATGGAATTAATGCTGTACGTCACCATTCAGTCTGCAATAATTCATTTTATTTCAAATATTAAATAGCATTTCATAATTATTTATTTGGTTTATATTGTATGTGATGAAATTCAGGCACAGTTATGGACTTGCAGTGATTTAAACCAATGTTTTCTTGAGAATGTTGGTGACATACTATAAAGTTAAATAAGAAATTTATAAAAAAAAAATAACCACCTCCAATATAGGGTTAGACACATATTACTCCACAAAACTTTCAGGTTTTTTAATTCATAGAGGGTTGAATACATTATATTAAAGCAATTCTGAGTATAGAAATGAGCAAGTTATGTGACAACTACCGCTATAAAGTTGTCGGAACGGCATGCATCAGAACTACACTTTGACAGTGGTGTTTTCTATGTAGTGTGATGTCAGTGAAAGTTGATCACTTTAGGCAAGATTATTTAAAAGCCCTTTCTGATGCAAAATATTCATATACTCATGTTATAAAGATGACATGTTCAGATCTTAGAGTTATAATTTCCAGGATATGAATATCCTGTGTATTTAATAGTATTGTAAAACCTAGACAATGCAGGAGACCTCTAACTAGTCGTACATCAACCATTGTATGCAAAGTGTGGCATCTTATAATAGGTGAGCATCCATGAACACAAAAGTCAGTGGTAAAAACTATCTATGTGTCTCAGGCAACAGGACACAACCTAATTACAAAGGATCTCCATTCGGAAAAGGGACAGAAACTACGTGTGTACACAATGCTTCCATGATACATCTATTTAGATCTCGTATACCTCAAGCAGCTGGATGAATGAAACAAGTACTCATGCTATTCTATAGGAAGACATACCAGTCAACTTGCTGGATTCTGTTCCTATGTATGCTGTTGGAACAGGTGCTGAGAAACTGTCATCCTCATACACCTGATGGATTGTGGAAAGAATGAAGTTGATGCTTTGGACATGGTAGCCTTATATCAAGCATTTTTCAATAGAAACATGCTGTGGAGCTGTTGTCAAGATCCCAATTATCAGATAGAGCATGACTCCCATCTGATATATGGTTAGGCCACCTTTTGTCATGATAACAGCCTGGACATGGCATGTGTTGCACAAGATGGTGACATAGAACACTGAAACATATAGTCTTTTTAGGGCTGGTTCCTGTTTTTAATAATTTATTGTCCAATTATTGTATACGTCTTTCAATTTTGTGTGTGTGTGTGTGTATATATATATATATATATATGCATGCAAAAGTGCTGTTTTAATTTATTTAAATGCTATCTCATTCACCCATAGCCTATTCATTGAGGAGTTGTCTGTAGGTGATGACAGACGTTAATAGTGGATACTGGTGCTTAATGTGATGTTCAAGCTCTTGCTAAAGACCAATCAAATTTAAATCCAATGATTATGTTGGCCAGAGAGTATGACTAAGATCACTGACATGCTCTACAACCTAATTTTGGACAATAAAAGTGCAGTGAAATGTTGATTTTCACCTTGGGGATGAACATGATCAGAAACATCACATAGGAACCTTATGAATGTTATTTTTCATTCTAACAAAAGGACTTGTTTCCTACTACAAGAACATTTTCCCTCACCATTACACCACCTCCAGCAACGTGTGATGTCAAGGCAATACAAATGGGTCATGTAGTTTTTCTCTAGTACCAGTACAGAAAAGGCGACTCACTCTACAATTTGTGCTCAAAGCACCTGCTAAACAGGCATTCAGTATCAAAATTGGGAAATGTTTTAGTTTTTGTTGACTAGCCATGAGGCTTCAAGCATTTCATATGACCAATCTTGTTTTGATATGTAAATAACTGAAGTATTTAACAAATATGTGTAGAATTGATGTATTTATTAGGAACATACACCGAAGAAGCTATTTCTTCAAAACTTTTTCATTTGATGATGTATTCCAAATATCAAACACTTAAAGCTATTTTGGACAGAACTAAAATAATTTTCATTCTATTTATCTTCAGAAACAGCTTATTACATTTAATGAAGTGGTTATAATATTCTCCCAATTTTAATTTGTTGACAACAAATACTAGCCTAAAACACTGTGACTGAAATAAAATCTCTTCAAAACCTCAAAATTCCCATAACCTTTTGAAGTTCTGTAATAATTCAAATAATGCTTCCGCATTATGTTTCGAACAATAAATTTCTCTATTAAATACCTATTGCAATTGTTATTACACGTACAAAAACACAGTGTACATTTTCACATTCAAATGAACAGACTTCCTTCAAAATGCTCATTATTGTTGACAACTTCCGTTAACATGTTAGTTACTGCTGCTAACATTTGACTCCTCTGTTTTGTCAAGTTGCAGCTGGATGTACTGATTTTTTAGAAAGGGGTACTGAAATCAGATTATGATAAAGATTACCCTTATCTCCTAATAGAGAACTATATAGTCGCATTGTTTCCCTGGCTGGAGAATAACAGAAGTTACATCGAAATTTCTATTCCAAGATCCACGAGTGAAAGTAAAGAATATTTTATAATATGACAAACATTACTACATCTGACATATCCAATGCCAATGTGTCCTTTCGCCGAGTAGTATCAGTGTTCATTGAGCCTGTTGAGATACAACTGACGTATGTATCCATTTTCGTGAAAAACAACTGTGTTAGGTACGTAAAGTGGGGTGTGCCTGAAGTTTGTAAGACTTCAAAAGTAAATGTTTGACTATCAAAAAATAAACACAAAAGGTTGATTATACACTTTTTATTTCTTCCTTCCCAAGAAAAGTAACATCTGGTGACTTCCAACAAGTTAAATAATAATACAATTATACCAAAGTGAAGTAATAAATCAAAAAAATGAATTAACAAAATGTTCTACATCAAAAAATGTGAGATCTGTGTAGTCCGTTTATATCACACACATAAAGAAGTTAATTTTTAACAAAATTAAAATTACAGTCAACAAATAACAATATCTAAATTAAATTTCTGTATTTTGAAGTGAGACACTGATACAAAATATCCATGTGTGTGAATAGAACATTTTATAGTTTGAATTCTTTCAGTTTCATTCCACACATCTAGCTTCAAGTCTAGTACTTATATATTCATGTAACAAAATCAACAGTAAACTACCTACACAAAATAGAATGTTTACACCTTTGTTTAACCCTTTAGGCACATACTTTTTTTTTTAGTATGTTCAGATTTATATACATGTCTAATTAGATCAAGTATACCTCTAAAACCATTTGAAATAGCCCAAGATGCACGGAAACACGTTCAGCATAACCTGAAGATTCAAATTATACAAATAATTTGACTTAATTTACATATCTTATGACATCACACTTCCAATAATGGCAATGGGCCTGCCTAACGGGTTAGACACTATCTATAAAGATAGAGTTGAAGCTAGCAGTTTTAATAGTTATGCACAAGTGTTGAAAAACAAAATGGCTAAAATCATTCTTGTGCAACACTAAAAATTAAAAACACATACATAAGGGTAAGATTTTAATAGTACATTCTCGCCTGCATTTGTGTTGGCCGACTTACATACGGGTGTAACTGTAATGGGTTCAAAGTCATCGCCCAATACCCATGTACTTTTAATTCATAAAAAAATAACAACACTGTAGGGTTTTTATGAAATTACAAGCAATCTCACTTGCCATAGTACAAAGTAACAGGAAGTTTAGAGAAAAATATTGTCTATTATATACAAATCATAAACTCCTTAACTACTGATGTCAAATCACACAAACTCTTCAATTACATCATCGTTTGTGGTCTACATATTTATAAATAGCACTGATGTATATTCAAAGCAACTGCTTTAAATTCCTGGTTGCATAAACGATAGTTAAGTACCATTTTTTTTCATCCTTCTGGGTGTGTTCGTGTAAACTTTGTGATACCTGTATGTACATTTATCACATCATTAAAGTAACGGCATAAAAATAATCAAGTCGCTATACAGGGTTAGTAATATGAAAGACTAACATGAATAGACGTTTCAACAAAGCCAACACCTATGCCACTCTGAAGACGTGTCTGACCCACAGTCCTGATGGCATGGCACGCTGCTCGAATTCAACAGTCTTCTTGTCAAGCAACTCTCTCACATCACACACACATTTATTAAGTTGGACCATGTACTATATATATATATCAAGTGTTATAAAAGCAATCAGTCTTACAACCCAAATTAACTACAACTAACTCAAAATATAATTTACTTAACTACCTTAAAACTAATTTTAAAAGTTCATTTTTGAATTACTCAAAGTTTGCGAGTATGATTTGAAGTCTAATGCAACATACATTTAGTATGTACACAAAAAAAAATGTAAAAGACAAATAATGTAATCCCAGTCAATATCTATGCTACTTTGGCTTACTGTATATGATGCTTCTTGTAATACATCATATTGTTAGATCTAATAAACATATCCCAACATTATAATGGAATGTCAGGAATTTGTAAAAAGTTCAGTGTCATGGGACTAGAGGTTTATTATAATTTAAAACCAAACTTTTATAAATTTTATTCTCAACAGCTTAGCACACGTACATATGTACACAGGTTTGAAACTAATTTCTTCAAAAAAAGTTAACAGCACTTTAGCTAGTTAATACAATTATTTACAAAAACAGTAGAATGATAATAAGATCAAATTATCATATAAGATGTTTACTTATACAAACCAAACTTGAAAAATTTGTTTGCTAGCAAATTTTAACATCTGTTAGAAAAATATTGCCTATCAACACTATTCCTTGTAAATAATAACCATGTGTGTCTGTCTGTGAAGCTATCATCTTTTCAATGGTAGCATCAGAGAAACACAAACACACAACTAATAAATCTCTACTCCTGCTGGTTAAACCTTTTCAACAACTTGGGTTTTTAATTAAACTATCTAAAGGTATTAATGATTTAAAAATGATTGATTTTACTGGATTTACTGAGAGTCTGTACAATGTTCAAAGTTTCTATATAAAACTAATGTTAGTGTAAAAATAGCAGTAGGCTTAACTTCCATTTTAAACTATTACCAACACAGGATACTGCTAGTGTTCATCACTTTATGTTTCTATTCAAATCGGAAGAACCATCAAACGCTAAATTAATTCCTACAAATTCAAAATGAACTAAAATAATTACCAAAGGAAAGACCGGAAGAGTATACAACTTTGAGGAGAATATAACAACACCTAGTACACGAGTTAAAAGTCAGGTATAACAGCAAAAGACAGTTTTGTTGGTTTATTGACATGGTTCTAAAAAAATGTGATATTTATTGCTTCTCAATATTCTCCTAGCAACAGTGATGGTGTTTTGGCAACAAACAAGTGACACTGGCACACACACAACAGTAACTAATAGAGGTTGAAACAAGAAAAATAATGTGAAAATTGAAATTTGACAACTACTTTGACTAATACAATAGTTTTTCATTGCTGAAAAATCTGTGCTAACTTTTAATGAATATTTTACCCTGTTTTTTCCTTAATGTTACCATATTTCCTTTTTTATTTACCAATTTAATATTTTTTACAATTTTTAACATTTTTCTATCATTTATTTTCAAAATTTCCATGTACTCATTTCTTTCATCTTCATTTATAAAACTTTTTTTTCCCTCCTCTGCATTGTTGTATGAATATCAAATATATATACTACACTGTCACCTATCAACAGTGATGCAAATATACTTGGAATGTTGACTAACCTCCTACATGTTGTCTAGATGATGAAGTCACAGCTATGTTGACTTTCAAAATGCTTTTTGTTTGCAGTACTTCTGTGGTTTATCATAATAAGAAATATATTTAACATTTTCAGTGAAGCAACCAGGATTTGGAAGCCCCTATATTTTTTCGTATTAGGTAAAGTAGTAACTAACTACAGGGGTATCTTAATAAGATGTATAAACAGTGAATATTTCTGTTTAGTTTAAATTTTTTATTTTCCAAACACTTCAGAGCTTAATACTGTTTAATTTATGACTAAAACAATATTAACACAGTATTAAAACTGCATTGTCATTAGTAGAAGTAGGACTTAGCATCTTTTCTAAGCATTACAATACATAAATTTTCCTAGACAGTATAAATGTCCGTGACTTCATCTAAATCATTACTTGACAAAAAGTCTATAAGAGTGTGTCCACTTATAACTGGTGAACCATTGGTCAACAAACCTGGAGTGCACCCTTAGGGCCCTTGGAGAATGACACAAGGGGTTTGGCATTTGGATTACCAGCTATCATGTTGTACCAACTGGTATATTAACTATCCTGAAATGTACCAAGATGAGATATGCATTTTATATAGCACTGTGAATCAATGCAGAGTTATAAAAAAAAAAAGTGGCAGAGGTTCCCTATTTAAAAAAAAACATTAAATAATACAGGATTCTAATAAAAAAGTATACTCTGTTTTTATTATTGAATTAGCTAGTCACAATTGCAATGTTCAAAATATTAGCCACAAAATATTAACAGCTGCATTATGAGATGCTTTGGGTTTTCCTATTTGATGAATGTAACTCGGTATTTTTTGTGGTACTTTATTTACTTACTTTTTTATTAATTTAGCTATCAAGGATGCAAATGACCCCATTATTCGTCTGTTTTCTTAATTCATTTAGAAACTATCACTGATACCAGTTTTAACTTATACATTTAATCTGTTGAGAGGAAATATTTCCTTTGGTTGATTTTCACCAGTCTTCCTGCTGAAAGTTATTACACTAAACGTTTAAAGAAATCTTACAACTCGTGTTATATGGGATTTCAAGTTTAATCTGTTTTATTGTATTTCAATGAATGTCAATTGTAACCCGTCTGTAGTTGTCTTGGAATCGTTATGCCATAGGAAATAAAATATTATACACTATATTACTGTTTATTGAAATCATTATATATTTGTTTAATTCATTCTTTGATACTGTAAATTCAGTTTTAGATTGTGTTGATAACTAACTGTGCATAAATTCTCTATCATAACAATGTTTCCCAGGGAAATTTTGGGAAAAGGGGGCATTGACTGGTCAAATAAAACAAGTCATAACAAACCCAATGGTAATAGCACCATCGTTACACCAGAGGGCCATAACGAGTCCTTTATCTCAATTAATTTCCGATCCACTTCGTATTACAAAAAGAACAGCCTCAAGATTACATAAGAATTTTGCAAGAAATGTTAAGATTTGCAATACTCGTTTACACTGAAGCCCAGGTTTATTGTACCTTTATGTAAGACTATGGATGCAGATATTTCACTGTTGTAGAGTGAAAAAAAAAAGGCAGAAAATGTGCAACATGGTATTGACAGTTATTGCAAAATATTTGATACATGGAGATCAAGTGTATTCAGCCATACATATCCTTAACTGTCCACTACAAGTGGGGGTCCTGTAGAGTCTGATGCTGGGTGCTATTCCATTTACTGGTCACAACACAGAGAAGCTTGTTGACAAAGTGCTGGCAATTAAATATGGTCCGTGTGTCAGTCAGAGGAATCAGTGAAGTTGTGTGTCAATGTCACGATCTTGTAAGCACTTCAACCACAGCTGCCAAACCTACAAAATGTTTCCAAGAGTTCAAAAGGAAAAGGACCTTCCGGAGCAACAACTTCTTCTAGACATTCCAAATAGATGAAATTATACATTTCAGATTATCAACTCAAACAAAAAAAAGCTGCTATTAAAATTGTGCAGCACACTTTACTTATACCAACTTACATGATATTAGATTTGAATGGAAACAACTGGACCAGCTGGTGCCACTGCAGCAACCATTTTATGATAATACTTAGTGGATCAGTGCTGTTTCATATGTTACTGTATCTGCTCTGGGCCCTTCCCTGGTGATGATTCATATGACTCTTAACCATTTTATAATACTACTTCACAGATCTGTGCTGTTTCATATATATATCTGCTCTAGGCCCTTCCCTGGTGATGATTCATTAGGCTCTACAAATGGTCAACAATGATCCTCAAACGAACAGAAGTGTTGATGAAAGTGGAAAAGTACTTCACTTCTTCAGAGAAATAAAACTTTTTAATAAGAGTGGTACCTTGACTGTCATTCACAAACTTGGATGGATTCACATCAACTTATTGAACATAATGGAGAAAGCTGGACTGCCATAGACCACATCAAATGCTACATCAGCAGTTCAAATCTCCACTGGCTGAATTTACCTTCTGTGTACAACATTTCAGCCTAATTCTGTTGCACTTTCAAAAGGAAAAACACCACAAGTGAAATATGTGTGCCACTCCCACTTCCTAATCTTGATCCACTGGAAGGTTCATGAAGAATAACTCAAGCCAAACTTGCTAACACTTTCTAACCTTGATAATAATCCACTGGGATAATGAAAAGTTCACGAGAACTCGTAAGGGCTCACCTAAGCATGTGGCCAAATTTGTGTGTGTGTACTGTGGGAACAAGAAAACCTGTTTAGCATCACCCGAGACATTGTAACAGCTGTCAGGAATCAATTGCTCCTTTGGACTGTTCACATGCTAGAATTACTACATGACAGCACACAAAATCCATATGGATTAAATTAATTGTATTCTTAACAACAATGGGTAATTCAAAACGGAAGCTATTTATACTAAGAATTACTGCTCCAACAATAGCTTATGTTTGTGTTCTTGCAATGAAATATTTAGCTTTCAATTACCAAAAGATACTGAAAACAAACAAAGATTAATTTTGAAAGAAAGAGAGAGAGGAACATTTTTTATTGTGTTGTTAACAGACAGCTCTTCATTTTAATAACACCAAGTTAACATCAATGCTTAACTCATCTACACCTAGAAATATACTGAGTAATCAAAATGTCATCCATTTTTAACTTGTCAGGACTTCCAGTGTTGGTGCAGAAGTGTTGGATGGAGACAAAAAAGAACACTTTTTTTTTTATGTTGTCATATGAGTAACATTCATCTATTTTCACATAAGTAACAAGATGGAACTAAGGCCTAATGTACACTGTACTGCAGTATGTTACATTGATTTGTTCTCCTTCAGGCTCAAGTTAAATGACAGAATTTTGTTTCTAATACAAGATGAATCTTCGTGTTTAATTTTACAGATGACACACTTTTTTAATGTATCAGCCCTTTTTTTCTCTTTGCTGTAGAGCTTTTTGGGAGAAGTTATTCTCAACAATCTAAAATTATGCAATGTTTCCCACTGTGGACATATTTCCCACATTTAAATACTAGTTCCCACCAATTCAAAAACACAGACAGAAAAAACTAATACAACTACTATATAAAATATAAGATTATTCAGATGGACTGGTCAAACAGGTCAGACCATTGTTTGATTGAAAGAATAACTTAAATTTTATCAGAAGTTTAAATCTTATTCTCCAACATTCTCAAACATCAGCCATGTTCATTCAAACAATATATTATTCTGGGTAAGATAATTAGTTTAAAAAATACAAGTAAACAAACAAGATATTGTGGTACAACTACACTAAGACAATGGCAAACATTCTCACAAAGTCACCATAAATCATAGCTGTAAATTCAAGGCTTTATAAAAGCTTGAAAATTAACCAAAATTACTTCTACTTTGCTCAGTATACTTGTTTACATGTTCATCTATCTAAATATGGTACAATGACTACTCTAAACAAGACCCTGATTCCCATTACAAACATAAACCTACCCAAACATCTGTAAATATATATCACTTACTCGCATTCTGATTGACAAAATCTTCTTTGCATCAAAACCAAAACGAAAATTCCCCAAGAGTTATTTCTCATCACTATAAAATTTGGTACAACTTAAAAAAAAATGTCAACAGAAGACACTGGCTAGAAAAAAGTGTAGATTACTTCAATCAGTAACAATTGGTGTGATCAAAACGATGATGGTTTCAATATCAATACATGTCATTCTACGAAGTTATGAAGTGATTGGCAGGTTTAATAAAGGGTCAACAATGGGATGTCACTTTTGAAGGCTTACCTATCAGATGAATTGGATCTTGTAACACCTACTGGCAATTTGTTGGCCTATAAGATAATCAGCTTTTTCAGTATTGATTATAGTCTATACAACATACAACTAATTTACAAAACAGTTAAATATCCTGCTGAAATTATGTCCAATTTAAAAAGACTTGAAATTTTATCAAATATAATCCCCACTTGGTGGTTGGCCTATAAAATAATCAGTTTGTTAGTATTGATTATAGTCCCTACAGCATGCAACTAATTTACAAAACAAATTAAGCAGGGAAATTTAACATGTCCAATTTTATCAAATATAATCCACCTGTTGGCTAAAACAAAAATTATACTAAACAAACCTGAAATCAATCTTTATCATCACAATATGAACCTGTCATTAGGGGTCACCACTGAGTGAAAGCTTTTGTTTCAGAATTTCACATAATTTGTGCAGTCATCCTTAATTTTGATCTGACAGACTGATAAAAGGCAGCTGGTCAACAGCAACTATTGTAAACTCTTGGGTTAATACTGTCTGTTCAAATAGTGGTATTTAACCATCACTCCAACAGCTACAAAGTGTGGAGCATGCTTTTGCAGTAGTAGATCACAAATCAAATAATTCTCTGACACCTTGACTAAATATGTTAGCCACTACATCATGTGATCTGTCCATCTGAAGTTAAACAGTTTTTTTTCAACATTATTCTACTTTATAAAGCTATAAATTACGTGAAGTACAAAAATCTAAACTGACAATTCTGAATTCCATAATATCTACATGTAAAACCAACATTAACTTTGTGTGTGTATATATACATACATTCGTATAGTTTTTATTTCTAATGTTTCTTTCCAGTTTCACACAGAACCAGAGAAGGTATTTACCAATGCTGGGCTTAAAAACTAGTTCAATAACTAGATGAAGGGGCTGCCCCTCTTCCAATGTTTTCTGAGCTGTAGCACACAATGTGTTTACAATGTGCAAGATACCCATGCTATGGATGCCAGTAACTCTTTTTGATATAGGCCTGGTGATTTTAATCAACCTTGGAATGTACTAAGTGTTTTTCTGTTACTTTCTCTATCACAAAATGCCTCCATTCCTTGCCCTTATATGCCACAGAATGTCCATGGTCCTTGTCCTTATCTGCCACAAAATGCCCCCATTCCTTTGGTCTTATCTGCCACAAAATGCCTCCATTCCTTTGCCCTTATCTGCCACAAAATGCCTCTATTCCTTTTGCCCTTATCTGCCACAAAATGCCCCCATTCCTTGCCCTTATCTGCCACAGAATGCCCCCATTCCTTTGCCCTTATCTGCCTCAGAATGCCCCCATTCCTTGCCCTTATCTGCCACAGAATGCCCCCATTCCTTGGCCTTATCTGCCATAAAATTCCCCATTTCTTGCCCTTATCTACCACAGAATGCCTCCACTCCTTGTCTTTATCTGCCACCAATTCATTATTAACTATTTTTCAAATAAAGAACATGAAGCACACGTGACATATACAGTAAACCTGGTTTAAACTCACCTTCTTTGTGTTTTGTAATGAAGTAGGAACAACGGGTGGCCCAACGGGGATAGCAGCAGTTTCTGAAGGTAGAGCCGAATCTTTAACATGTTGATGAGGAAGTTCATACGTGAAACTGGCATTAGAAATTTTCATACAGTCCTCTAGAGTTTTAATAAAGGTGTCACAAGTGGCACTCAGCAGTTCAGCAGCTTCATTCATTTTCTGAAGGAGTAAAATAAAGTTAATTAATTCTTAAACCGAGTCCCACAAATGGTCATATTGTAGTTCCCTCACAAAACTACTCAACTTAGATTCTAATATTTTCTACAGTTAGTTGAACTACGAAAACTTATTAATCACACAAACTTCAAGATCTTATTATGGGCAATTTAATTCTGATATTCACTCCATTAAGTTCAGTATCAGTTTGAAATATATCTTAAAGGAGAAATGTTTTTTATTGGCAATTCTTACATAGCTTTAACATAAAGCAGCCAATTGAACTATTTGTGCTTTATCAGCAGGCTTTTTGTATTTAACTTTTAACCTATCACACAGAGCTATTATTACGACTTACACTGTTAACCTACAGATCAATCTTATAGTACTACAATTTTCTGATTTAACCGAGCTTACAAGTTATTGATAAGTTAATGGTTTGCAATTTAATCAACTAATCAAAATAACTTAGCAAAAAATTTTATGGCATGCCAACTTCTTCAATTCTAATTATAGCTTTTGAAAATGAGAAACAAATTAAAAAAAGGTAGATCAAAGCATAAAATAATTATCTAAAAATTACATGGATTTACCCCTAGTTTTGAAACTTATCGTAGGACAGGAAATCAAGTGACATTTGGTGAAAAAAAAATCATAAATAGACAATTTACTGAAAATACTTCCAACACAAACAAAAAAACACAATTTGAAATAATATTTATTCTATCTTAACTCACCTCCACTCGTTCTTAACAGTGAAGAATAACCACAAAGTAATATTAGTATTACAACAAAAGACTAAAGCTAATATAAATTATGTAATTCATTTGAATCACCTCCACATCAGGTGCAACATCTTGTTCTTGAACTGACGATGTTATTGTGTGAACCTGCTGCATCAGGAGGTCACAGTAAAGCCTCAACTCCGATTTTTTCATCTTTAGATTATCTGGCCCTGCCTTGCCTGTTAAGTAATAATACGGGACTTTCTTTGATAAATGAAAAGCATACTCTAAACATTACTCGTAAAATGTATGCTTCCCACAGAAATGTTCTTTAATAGAACAGATTATCATGTCAAAAATGAATGTAAATAACACAAACATATTTCTTTTATCATGAATGGCTGTTCACATTACCGTAACTGTGATTTTATCATGACTGTAGAAATGCCCTTGTAACAGCCAATCATAAAAAATTAACAAGATATTTATTATTTACAACCCATTGTAACTGTGGTTGTTTACAAATGTATTTTCTATTTAGCAACATATCATCGAGCTAAGCTTTTATCACTTTGTTCCGACATCTATGCAAGGGTCCAATGAAGTGGAAGCCATTTTGGCTTAAACAGTTGAAAAGGACAAAAAAATTGTGTGTTCTGAACCACAAGCTTATGACTTCTCAAAGTTGGGGTATAATGACACCTGATTTTCAGAAAGCATGATCACCTAAAGTCAATAAAACTACACTTTTATTGAAAGTACAATGTTAAAATTTTGTTAAAAACTATTCTGGCTTTCCCACAAAGGGGTATGAATCCTGTATTGAGTTCAACAATTTCAGGAAATTCACAAATACTAAAGATTTCATATGCAGAGCATTGAAACAACCCCAAATCAAAAGTTGAAAAATGGTAAACATTTTTACATATAAAATTTAAAAACTTAAACTTCTTTATCTGAATAAATTTCAAATCTGAAATATAAAAAAATGTATGTAAGAATTACTACTGGTTTATTTACCATCACCAGAAACGAATGCACCAAATCAGGCATTAAAGGGCTGCTAGACACAAATATCATTCTACACATGGTAAAGACAGAATGGTAGATTGTAAGTAGCTAATCATATAAATTATTTTATACAAGTAGTAGAGACAGAATGGTAGATTGTAAGTAGCTAATCATATAAATTATTTTATACAAGTGGTAGAGACAGAATGGTAGATTGTAAGTAGCTAATCATATAAATTATTTTATACAAGTGGTAGAGACAGAATGGTAGATTGTAAGTAGCTAATCATATAAATTATTTTATACAAGTGGTAAGAGACAGAATGGTAGATTGTAAGTAGCTAATCATATACATTCTTTTATACAAGTGGTAGAGACAGGGTTGTACACATACTGCTAGGTGATCAGACACATGTCCTGGAATATGTGTAGTAAAAACAAAATATACATACTAAATATTAGATACAAATATTGTTCCACATGTGGTAAAGACAGAATGGAAGATTGTAAGTAGCTAATCATATACATTCTTTTATACAAGTGGTAGAGACAGGGTTGTACACATACTGCTAGGTGATCAGACACATGTTCTGGAATATATGTAGTAAAAACAAAATATACATACTAAATATTAGATACAAATATCATTCTACACATGGTAAAGACAGAATGGCAGATTGTAAGTAGCTAATCATATACATTCTTTTATACAAGTGGTAGAGACAGGGTTGTACACATACTGCTAGGTAATCAGACACATGTCCTGGAATATGTGTAGTAAAAACAAAATATATACTAAATATTAGATACAAATATTGTTCCACATGTGGTAAAGACAGGACTGTACACCTGTTACTAGATACAAATATTGTTCCACATGTGGTAAAGACAGGACTGTACATCTGTTACTATATACAAATATTGCTCTACATATGTGGTAAAGAAAGAAACGTACACCTGTTACAAGATACAAATATTGTTCTACATGTGTGGTAAAGACAAGATTGTACACCTGTTACTAGATACAAATACTTTACATATGTGGTAAAGACAGGACTGTACACCTGTTAATAGATACAAGTATTCTACATGTAGTAGAGACAGGACTGTACACCTGTTAACAGATACAAATATTTTACATGTGGTAAAGACAAGTCTGTACACCAGTTACTAGATACAAATATTTTACATATTTGGTAAAGACAGGACTGTACACCTGTTAATAGATACAAGATTTTACATGTAGTAAAGACAGGACTGTACACCTGTTAACAGATACAAATATATTACATGTGGTAAAGACAGGACTGTACACCTGTTAACAGATACAAATATTTTACATGTGGTAAAGACAAGATTGTACACCTGTTACTAGATACAAATATTCTACATATGTGGTAATGACAAGACTGTACACCTGTTAATAGATACAAATATCATTCTACATACGTGGTAAAGACAGGATGTACTCCTTTTATTAGATACAGATATTGTTCTACATATGCAACAAAGACAGGAATGTACACGTTACTAGATACAAATACTGTTTTATATATGTGATAAAGACAGGAATGTACACCTGTTTTCAGATACAAATATTGTTCTACATATGTGGTAAAGACAGGATTTACTCCTGTTATTAGATACAGATATTGTTCTACATATGCAACAAAGACAGGAATGTACACGTTAATAGATATAAATATTGTTCTACATATGCGACAAAGACAGAAATGTACACATTACTAGATACAAATACTGTTCTACATATGTGATAAAGACAGGAATGTACACCTGTTTTCAGATACAAATATTGTTCTACATATGTGGTAAAGACAGGATGTACTCCTGTTAATTGATACAGATATTGTTCTACATATGCAACAAAGACAGGAATGTACACGTTACTAGATACAAATATTGTTCTATATATGTGGTAAAGACAGGAATGTCCACCTGTTTTCAGATACAAATATTGTTCTATATGTGTGGTAAAGACAGGAATGTACACATTACTAGATACAAATATTGTTCTACATATGTGGTAAAGACAGGAATGTACACATTACTAGATACAAATATTGTTCTACATATGTGGTAAAGACAGGAATGTACACGTTACTAGATACAAATATTGTTCTACATATGTGGTAAAGACAGGAATGTACACGTTACTAGATACAGATATTGTTCTATATACGTGGTAAAGACAGGAATGTACACGTTACTAGATACAGATATTGTTCTACATATGTGGTAAAGACAGGACTGTACATGTTACTAGATACAAATACTGTTTACATATGTGCCAATTCTCCAACTTCAGCATAAGTAGAACAATTGTCAAACAGATTTTGCTAACTGACACAAAACTCAACTTCAAAAGAGAACTTAGCAATAGCTCCACAGGTGTTCTACAAGAGGTTGTTTTAAACATAAAACTATGAGGTATGAGAATATCAAAAGCAGAAGAAGGAATAAATTAATTGTTTTTCAACAAACTTATTACATTATACACCATTTGTTATAAAACAATCAAAATGTTTTTAATAGTTTTAAAAAATACATTTCAAATATTTGGTATAATATTTTCATACAACTGAAGCTCTTACAAAATAACCAATAATAACAGGCCCTATGAAGCTAAGGCAACAATCCAAAGTAACAAAAAACATTTTGGCAATAAAGTTAGAACAAAAATTACCTTTACACCCCAGATAACAATAATGAAAAAAGCTTTTTATTTCCACCAATGTTTCTTGTTCCACTAGCCGTGATGAAGCCAGAATGGCCAAAAATTGGCCAATTTAAATTCTTTTTATATTACCTTAAGAGGAAAGGTTGTTTTTTTCTAACTTCATTACAAAATTATCTAAGTCTCTCCAGTATGCACTAGAAGTTCTGAATAACAACAAACACATGTAGATGAAACTCTATAAAATGAAGAAACTGGGTAAATTAATTTATAATATCAATAATAAATTAAGTTTTAGTTCACCTGCTGGTGACTTTTGCTGGGAACTGAGAGCAGCTTTGGCACTTCCCAAGGCAACCAGCCACTGCTGTCGTTCTTGTGGAGATGATGCTCGTAGGTAAAAATGTTGTTCAGAAGGGATCACCAAGTCAAGACGTTTTTGATCAGTCTGGTGTACTATTGAAAACAATTTATTATATTTCTATTGGATCTATTGTTATGTTCTGAAAGGATGTTTTGTAAAACAGAGAATAAAAATTAAAAAGAAAAACACTTTAAATTGTTCAACCCTCCCCAGTAGTACATAGAATAGACAGAAGTACTTTAAACATTTTATAAATAACCTTTATTACTAGTTAAATAAAGTTAACCAGTTTCCTCTAATGACAATATATTTCCAATCACACTTTAGCCTTATCCTGACAAAAGTTTCTCTTCCAAGTCTATCTAAGCATTGGTATGAATCTTATCTCACTTGCTTCAGCCTATATACTCCACTATATTGACCAAGATCTATATATAAGCTCCCCGTTATTACTTCTTATACACTTTTCAAGACGGTCCAATTAGCAGACCCAAAACCAGCCATTTCATGGGGAGGAAGGGCAAGAGAGTGTGAGAGGAGGTAAATACTATTTGAAATACAGACTGGCAGAAAAAAATACTAACTTCTAAAACACTTACCTCCTCTCACACATTAGCTAGAATCCCATATTGACAAGTTGGGAGTGAGGGCAAGATACACAAAGAAAGCATCTGCACAGAAAAGAAATGTGCGAAAATGAGATATAGTAATAGCACACTGGTGGAGTCATCATTACTTCTGGAACAGGTATGCTCTTTGCCTGGATAATATGAAATCCAATTCCTGGGTGGTAAAGGCTGACCAGCTACAGAGACAAAATCCTAACATTATTAGAAGAACATGAATTCATTCAGGCCCCAACCAGGCAGACGAGGTCCCATGTCTTTCTATTGAAATTATAGGGCTGTCGACCCAAATCTAGATCCAAGGCATAGTAGCTTGGGCATGAAGACAGCTTTGTATTTAGTCTTGTTTAGTAATGTTGTATTATTGGAACCCAAGAGGCGCAAAATGCAACAAACTGAACACGGAATTATGGGATCTGTCACACCTCACTCAACCTAAAGAAACAGAGATTACCCAGCCTGGGATTACAAACTGAAATCCTAACTCCTCAACCTGAAAGGCAAGGTAACACCTCCTACCCCAAAATGATGAGGAGGATGTGGAACAAACCAAGTCTAACCAATGCCACAGGAATTGGTGCTATAAGTGTGGAAATATGAGAAGTTGAGGACCCTCTTCCATGATCATCGAAATGAAGAGAATGACTAAAAATAAGAACCACACTCAACTCAACCATATAGTGAAGAGTCATCTCTGAACAGGAATTACGAGGACACTCCCACACAGGCTGGTCCGTCTCCTACCATACATCTGGGAAAACTATCCAGGGTTATTGGGAGGAGGGCATCCAGTTTCACCCTCTTTTCCTTGAGTGGAATAATGAGTTCAAGCATCACTCAGGAGGAATAAACCTCTGCCCACCGCTCCAGCCACTGGAAACTGGGAGTGGTAAGGACTCCCATGCTCCACTGTGATAAATGGGGGTGGGGGAGATGCTCACATTGGGGAGTCCCGAGGAACAATGCTCCAGAGACAGTGTAATAGGTGAACCAGGTTACCAAGTTCCCTACTTTGAAAAGCAAACCAACCCTGATTTATTCAATCTAGGACTCGGAAAGGATGGGCAAAATCCCCTTAAGCTTTACTTATGATAGACCAAGAGTGGGGATCCAGTAGTGTATTTGCTTTTGTGATATAATTGTTTATCACCCAGAAAGCACACAAGGTGGTCTTATGGGAACCCCCCATCTCAACAGAGCTCGTTGCTACCAGGAATTCTTTCTTTTTTTTAATTGGTCGATTGGTAGCTAGTGAGGATTTAGAAAGAAGCATACCTGGCAAGTCAACACCCACAAATGAGTGGGATCCATATAAAAATGACAGAAGGGTCCCTGAAAAAGAAGAGAAATAAACACAAAATATTACTGAAGTCTCTTTGAAAAACTATTACTTAGAAATTTCATTTTCATTATTTTGTAAAATAGAC